CATCGCAACATAACCCTAACGTTCTCTGGGAGATCGCGATCCCAAGTAGGAATGACGGTCGTCTCCGTACGCCTTTATGGCATGTCGAAGAGAGAGTTTGGATTCCCTCGCTCACATCTTATTGCACGAATGCCGCTATCTTTACCGGATCAATTCCTGCTTAACGTGCTGCGCATGCTTACTACTTTAACCACGCGAAATCTCTTTGTCAAGGTATCTCTACATTCCTTGTATTATTTGAAGAGTTCGTATTGGGACCTTGAATGTCTACTAGGACCGTGAATGGATGGTCAAAACCGCCTGTCGCCTGATGAGTCCTCGTTTATGCCATCGTGATTTGGTCGATGCGGCCAATCATCTTCTCCGAGTCCTTCTGGTTGACAGCGTGCACGATTACTACGCAAGGAAGGACCTCGTCATCATTAGTACGTCTTGTTCGACTTTCTTTTATACCCTTTATGACTCTTTCGTCTTTGTTCATAATCATGCTATCTTTATCCCTGTATCCGTTTCTCTTTCATTTTCTATCTCCAACATTCCCTTCTTATCTGCTTTCTTGCAGATGATCTGGCGGTCTTTTCTCGTGGAAAAGTGCCCATTCCAACTGACCTGATGGCTGATTTTGCGTTGCAGCTGAAGTACATGATGTGTACGCGTTGGAAGCAATTTTGGAGCATTGTCAAAAGAAGTAGGTGGTTTGACCAAGACTTTCGTCCATATCTGTTCCTGGTACCGACGACACGCTCTTTTAGAGTTTGGAAGTTCTGTTGGGATCATGTCTTTCCTGCATAGGGAAGTGGCTGCTGCAGCTGCTCTGAACGCTCCTGTCAGCGTATCTGATCCTTTACCAGCACTGGAGCTGTACACTGTATTGTTATTCATTCTCCTGTCTGTGAATGACCCACACTCGAAGCAGCTCACGCAGGAGTATCTGAATCTCTACACTGATCCAAGGACTTCCCATATTGCGCATCGTGTTCGCCTTGTCGGGCAGTCGCTCATCTACTCCTTCGCACTTACCACAAGGAATGACAGATCTCAAGCACGATCGATGAGCTCGTCAACGAAAGTTATGCGCTGGGGAGGCCTGCGTCCTTTCTTCAATCGCACCAAAATACTAAGTGCAGATGAAGATCCAGTACAAATGGAGTTTCTTATGGGACCACTGAACTCAGTCGATATTCTTACCCAGAAGAACAGCGATATGTTTGATTTGGAAAGTGAATGGCTTCTTCACCTT